TTGCCGCTGAGCTAAATCCCCAGCCCCGAGCCTCTCCTTTAAGTTGTGGGTGCTGGGCATCCTGTCTCAGTGGCAAGAAAGTAAGACAGGGAGCCTGAGGACCACCATGCAGAGTGAGAGTAAGTGGTGCCAGTTGTGAGTCGCAACTCCGGACAGCCTCTTCCTTGACAGCTGACTGTCTTCAGAGCTGGGCCCTCACGTTGCACTATGCTGTGTGCCCGTCACACTGAGCTCCGCCCTTGCCGTTTGGCCCTCCTGAACAAGTATTTGGAGCAGATTATGTGAAACTCCTGGGAAAGAGAAGGGGTGGATCTCTCCCAAGATCATTGCTGATGGCAGGAAACACTAAGCTCTGAGACCCAATTAACTTCTGTCTCGCTGCACATACATACAAGCTTTGTCTTCCCATATGACAATCAACAGTGAAATGTCTTAAGATAATTTCCTAAGTCAAGCTCCTCGTGGTGATCACCTAGATATGACTGGCAGAACTCAAACCACATATAATGTCCCACCAGTTTCGCTCTTTCACACTCTCTCTTGAATCTTAGTCACACGGACACAGGCTCACAAGAGGAGAACCCTTACAAGCTAGGGACCTGTTTTGTCCCTTTGTTGAAACTTCTGATGAGTGGCTCTGTGTTTCTTGCATATGCTGCTTCCTTGGGTTTCGACTGCTTACTGATCACTCCCTTCTGAAGGCATGGTGTTCCCTGACCTGCAGGATGGATTTGACTATGTGGCAGGGGTCTTTCTCTGCAGGTCTTTGAACTCCTCAGAGTGGAGTGCCTTCCCAGAGTGGAGTGCCTTCCCAGATTGACAAGGACCACTCCAGATGCTGCAAGCTGCTGCCAGAACCTCCAAACACATGCTTGCCCCTTCTGCATTCAAATAGCCTTTAGGAGAACACCTGGAAACAAGAGCTGAATCCCTCCACCCTCTCTGAGTCACTGTTGAGAGGGAAAAGTGTCGCATGTCAATGGCCCCTGGACATCCTTTTCACTGCAAATCTGATGAAAAGAGCCCTTCTTGGCATCTTTTCTTGCCGGATTCAGTGCATCTAGTCTGCACTCTTCCTTGAACAAGGGACATGGTCACATGTGATTCTCCAAGGACAAAGGGTAGTAGGGAGAGCAAAAAAGAGATGGAGGAATGAAAGAACACAAGGGAAGGACTTCATTAATATCACAGATACAGACCCAGGGCAGCTGAAGGTGCTTATCTGGAGGGAATCAACGCCCAAAGAACAGAGGGCCAAGAGAGAATCAACTTGAAGGAGACAGGCCAAGGAAATGGGGACTAGGTAACATAGGACGAATAGGAAGGGGACAGAATTGTGGTATTAGTTTCCCAGGGTTACAGGAACAGACAACAACAAACTTTGTGACTTAAAACAACAGAATTTATTTCTCACAGTCCTGGAGGGCCGAAGTCTAAGATCACAGTGTTGGCAGGGACATACTTCCTTCAGAAGCTCTAGAGGGAGACTTCTTGGTCTCTTCCAGCTTCTGTGGCTGTCAGCATTTCTGCATATGTGACTGTGAAGCTCTCTTCTCCTGGTATCTCTTAAAAGGACACTGTCATTGGGTTAAAGGCCCACATAGGTGATCTAGGATCATCTGCTCATTTCAACATCCTTAATTAAATCTGCAAAGACCTGCTTTCCCAGTAGGTTAACATTCACTGGTTGTAGGAATCTGGATGTGCACACAGAGCTCAAGGGGCTAACCTTTTGCTTATTACAGGGTAGGAGAAATAGAAAGTAGGATTAAATAAGCCATCAGGTTAGGGCAAAGGGCCTTTTCCTTGTGAATTTTCTGGGAATTTTATGTACTTGTGGTCACTTGTGGCATTATTGTGTGAAGTTTTGAGCTCACTTGGGTCTCAACTCCACCACAATCTTCTGTTCTTACAGATTTGGACAGAAAACTTAAAGATGTTTCACCCTGCTTTTCTATCCCCAAAGCCCACTGCACTAAACACCATTCACAGGAGTTCTGGTGTAGCTCAGCCTCTTTCCTACTCAAAATCTTTTCCAACCACCCACCTTCTACTTTTCCAGGCCCTCTTTAGGTTCTGGCTTCTCCTTTTGCCTAATGTAATTCTGTCACTTTATTACGCACAGCAACTTAACTCTTCTACTCTGCCACAGGCTTACTTTGATAGCCCTAGACTCACTAAAGTCTTCCTAAAACAAAGAATCCTTGGTAGCGCATTTTGTAATTTGTTTCTCTTTCTCTTGTTCTCCACAGGTGGAAGAAGGCTGTATGGAAATTTATTTTCTTCATGCAGGAAAGATGAAGTGGCTACAATCTGGATTTGGTTTCTTTTTTCTTTGTACTGGGAATCAAACTCAGGACCTCACACTTGCCAGGCAGGCACTGTGCCACTGAGCTATATCCCCAGCCCTGGATTTTCACTAATCTTCCCCTTCCTCCTTTCTGGTACATGCATATATTTTTTTAACATCTCCAGTGGTACCTCGGTTCATGAACTTAATTCTTTCCACGATTCTGGTGAAAGAATTAAGTTCGTGAGCTGAGGCACCACTGTATTTCTTCTTAACTTATTACTTTAACACAGTGGTTCTCAAATTTTCATCTCAGAGCACCTTTATACTTTTAAAAAAATTACTGAAGGCCCTAAACAACTTCTGTTTATATGGATTTTACCTATCAATACTTACCATATTGAAATAAAACAAAAAGCTTAAAAGTATCATTGTTATTTAAAATAAGGATAAGTCTAGTATGTGCATAGTAACATAAATGACATCTTTTTTATAAAAAACATGTATTTTCCCAAACATCAACAAAACTAGTAAGAAGAATGGCATTTATATTGTTTTGTCTCTTGAAAGTCAAGCTTAATAGAAGACAGCTGCTCCCCATTTAGTCTCCTGCAAAATCAGTCTTTGGAAAACTCAACTTACAGCTCAGGAGAAAATGAGTGTGAAAAGGCAAAAATAGCATCTTACTATTATTACAAAAGTAACTTTTAATCCTGCTAACCATTGTTCTACTACAATTCTAGTTCTGTCTCTTTAAGAAAAAAAGGGGGAAAAAACTTGAACTCAATACGATCTGGAGTTAAAACTGAACCATGATCCAAAAATGCAGAAAAACCTCATTGCTGACTTGTAGTCAATTTAAATAATTATGGCTCAAGCTGGTACATTTGAAAACACATATAAAAGGCGAACAATAAAGCAACGTGGTTTCCACATTTGTCAGCGTCTGATAAATTCCCACCCATGCATCACCTCTTTCTGCTCAGAGATAGCTTCTCCAGGCTCTTCTCCACCCTAGGTACTAATAAGACCGATAACCAATAACTTTATCAACGGAAACTAACATTCACTGACCACTTACTAGAAGCCAGGCCACGTCAGAGCACTTTACCGCATCTTCTGATCGAACCCTCAGTAAACTCCGAGGGAAGTGCTGGTTTCACTTTACAGGAGTGGCTGACGTCGGAGACGAAGGCCTCTGGCCGCCGCCTCTGTAAGTCAGCACTTAGGGAACCCAGTGGGCCTCGTCCTCCGCCCCCGTCCTCGTCCCGTGCAAGGTGAGTCCTTCATGTCTAAGGTTAAGGGTGGTCGCCTCCGCACCCCGCCACCAAACGCCCTGGCCCAGTCAGAAAGCCGCGGCAAGGGGGCAAGCCTGCGCCTTCCCGTCCTCTCATCCCCGGGTACACAGGAGCACGCCTGTGTTTGCTCGGGGCCGAAGTTTGCGGGGAGAAGGAAAGGGCGCGCGTGTGTGCGTCGCTGACAACCGCAGCGCGCTGGCCGAGGGCGGAACCTTTCTCCGCTGGCTGCGGTATCCCGGCGCAGGCCGGAACCTTTCTTCTCCCTCCGTGGTTGTCGGGCGGAGGTGTGCCGAGCCGGAACTGTCCTCCAGCTGCCGGGTCCGCGCCTCAGTCGCCGGCTGCTGACGTGGGCCGGCAAGTGTGGGGCTGTGGGGACTGGTCGCTATGGCGGTGGACATCACTCTGCTGTTTCGGGCTAGCGTCAAGACCGTGAAGACGCGGAACAAGGCGCTGGGAGTGGCGGTGGGCGGCGGGGCGGATGGCAACCGCGACGAGTTGTTCCGCCGGAGCCTCCGGCCCAAGGGCGACTTCTCCAGCCGTGCCCGAGAAGTGGTGAGCTGGTTGCTATGGGAACGGGGTGCTAGAGAGGGGGGCGGATCCGCGACCCGGACCCCAGGCCCGACCCGAGACCCTGCCCGCAAGCCTTGTGTGAAAGAAGTCGTCCCAGGGGGAGGGAACCCCAGATCTGGCCTCAGAGCCAGCAGCTGGCTACGACAAGAACAGGTTGATTTTGAGGAAAGGGGACGCGTATTGGGAAAATGGGAAGCAGATTCCTTCTGAAGGGATGGAGGCACTCGGAAATCTTCCGCGAACTTCATGGGTTAATTTGTTAGATAATGACTTGGCCGTCACTGCAAACTTGAACCCGGGGGAACCTCCCCAGCCCCTTTCTTACTGTCGTGTCGCTGACTGCACTACGTTTGCCTGTTCGGTTTACTTGTGTGCCGCCTTCCCGCCACTCATTGAGTCCAAAATCCAGATGCTCCTGAACTCTGCCTTCCTTTTGCCTCCGTTGGCAAAATAGGGGACTCAGTACTTCTGAGACGGGTTTAAGATCATTTTTCACACTGGGCGCATTACCGTCCCCCAAACTGCTTTCAGTTCCTTGAAGACAGCAGGCTTTGGTTCGTCTCCTCCTTAAGGGCAGGAACAGAATTGGCTTCACCTCAGCGTGCATGACTCATAGCATTGCTTGGTAAAGCATTATTCAGTGAACGAACGAACGAACAAATATGGTTGTCTGTTTTCCACCCGAAACATGATAAGCCATAGGAGATAGAGATGTCTGCCTTGAAAAGTTTTGTACCTTAGGTACTAAGAGTAGGTGTAGTGTCTGTGGGGCGTAAAACTCACTCAGGTCAGTCACCGCTTTTTAAGAAACGAAGATATAAAATCACACACAGGAAAGAAGATTCAGAGCTTTAGAAGATGCAGGAAAGGGTCTTCTGAGGCTTAAGCTTCATTTATTAATTTCACAGTAAACCAACCTCTGCCTGACATACAGTGCAGTGACTGGCACTTTTTAGACACTCAAATATTTTTGAATGAGTATGTGTACGGATGAATTAATGAATGGCTATTTGGAGGATATTCAAGCACTAGAAAGGGGATTGGATTAGACAGATACAGTCCACTGATAAACATCTATTTAAGCACCCATCTTTTAATTGTTACTGTCTTGTAGTAACACAATGTGAAATGATTGGTGGAGGAGAAAGGAATAAATGAAAATAATGCAATAAGCCTTGCAGGGGTTGTGTAGGGTAAAAGGAGATGTAGTCATTTCTAGTTGAGGGCCTGGGAAGGCTTTATAGGGGTCAAGATGCCTGAAATAAATCCTGGAAGAGGATTGGTTCTACTGTAGATAAAATTGGGAAGGAAGTATCAGGCTAAGAGATTAGTGTGCACAAAAGTAGATAACTGACCTAAGTTGGTTTAAGAAACTTTTGACTGTGGCTGGAATGTGGGACACTCAGAAAAGCTGGAGTGGAATGTCAGGCCAACGGAGATCCTTAAGGGCCTTGTATATCACTCTGTGGATTTTGAACTTTGCATTGTAGGCAGATGTTGGGTGGTTTGTGGAAGCATTAGAGAGCTCAAGAGACTACACTTGTCTCAACCGTGCAACTGTAATTAAGCCAGTTTTAAAGCAAGTGTTATGACCTCAGTTTATTTATCTATAAAATGATCCCTTTTTTTATCAGACAAGATTTTTACAAAACTGCATTGATCACATATCTATATATCTGTATTTATAGCTGTATATCTGTACATATCAGATGAAAAAGGAAGATCTCAGAAATAAGAGAAAAGAAAATTAGGAATTTCCCTTCCCTATAACCCCAATTAGATCCAAGCTGAGCTCCCTTTTAGGGAAACCTTGGTATGAAGATCGCAGTTTGGGTTTTTGGAGGACCATTTTGGAAATCATTGACTTATTAACACTATGCCAATTTGGGGTCCAGCTCAAGGATAGGGGGTTTGAGTCGGGTATCGATGAGAAGGAAGGTTTGGTTAGCAAGCCCTGTACAGAGCCCTGTGACCACTGGGCTTTTTTCTGAATGATGAGAATATGCTTTAGGGCATTTTGAAGTACAGTCCTCAGGGATAGTAAAGGGACTGTGGGGTGCTGAGTTGCCTGTCCTTGGAGGTTGTTACACAAGGACTATTACTTGTGTGAAGTGTTTGAGAAAATCTTTGTGCACTTGTCAGCAAGTTAGACTGCATGTCAGTGAAAGTCCCAGTTCTGTTATTTAATGATGTGGAAAGCTGTCAAGGCTTCGCTGTACAACTAGCTAGGGACATGGATGTTGTGGGGGCCACAGCGCCTCTTGACATGGGAAAAATGTGCATTCTGTCAAGAAGTTTTGTTTTTTCCCTGCAGCTTCTTTGTGTATTATCTCTTCTTACAGCTGCTCCCCACTTCCCTTCTTTTCTTTTTGAGAATTAGAACAGAGAGGCAGTGATGGGTTTCCTGTGCTTTTGCCACAAAATCTGGCTGACATTTCATTTGGCCTGGATTCCTTACATGTCTGGCCAATATTAGAAGCACATATTCTCATTTCAGCTTAACCTTGTGTTTTAGTTACTTTTCTTGTTGCTGAAACAAAATATCCAATGCCCAAAGTTAAACAGGGAAAGTTAAACTTAGCTCACAGTTTTTAGAGGTTTCAGTCCATAACTGGCTGACTCCAAGGCAGGGTGGTATGGCAGAGGAGCCTCGCAGAGCAGGCAGAAGGCAGCAAGCAGAAAGCAACAAGCTACAAGCAAACTTCTTTCTGTCACTTATGTTTTATCCAGGCTCCCTGCTCTCAGGGAGAGTAGCACTCACACCTTTAATGGTAACATCACACTGTGAATCAATACAGCTTCATGTACCCTAGATGCAGTCACCTCCCCAAAGCCCCACCTATGACTGCATGAGGCTTTAGGGGGACATCTAGATACAATCTATAACACCTTGGCTGTCAGACTTAAGGAAATGTTGCAAGTTATAGTGATGCCCTTTGTTCAATGTCTTGTTTGAATTGTTTCTACCTTTTCTAGGATATATTTTACCCGGTTCAGGTAATTTGGTCCGCAGGCGAAATCCAGCCGAATGTCTGCTTTTGTACATACAGTTTTACCGTAATGTGGTCATGTACATTTGTATGTGTTTTATCATAATTTGTATGAGTTTTATCATAAAGTTTTATCATAATGTGGTCATGTACAATGCTCTGCGAGGCTCCTCTGCCATGTACCAACAGTGTTACAGCTTATATCTAGCTGTCCCCTCAAAGCTTTGTGTGCTCATAGTGGGGCTTTTAGGAGTGACTGGATCACTGATATGTGATACTGGACTGGCTTAATATTGTTCTGGATGTGGGTGATAGATTTACTGAAAAGGGAAGACCCAGCATGGATGTGGGTGGCACCAAGCAATAGGCTTATAGTTTAAGTGCAATAAAAAGGAAAAGAATGAAGGCTGCTCTGCCTCCTGTCTGCCATGCCGTGGACTGTTTCGCCTCTGCCAGGCTGCCCTACTTTGGAGTCAGCAGACTGTGCACTGAAACCTGTACAAACTGTGAGCCAAAAATAAGCCTTTCCTCCTTTAACTTGTGGATGTCAGCTATATTGTCCCAGCAATAGGAAAGTAAGACAAACAGGCTGTGGATGTTTTTGTACTACAGCAGCAGTGTTGTAGCTTTCAAAGGCCAGCAAAGCCTAAAGTATTTACTCTCAGGTTCTTTAGAGAAAAGGTTTGTCAGCTCTTGAGTTGGAGCATTGTCAACAGTGTAAGGAATTTGGATTTAAGGCTCTGGTCCGTTAACAGAGGCATGAAAGGGTCATATTTGTATTTTAAAATAATCAGTCACAATATTCAGGATAGATTTTAGGTATGAGATAAAGAGCTGATAGGAAGCTATTGAAGTGATACAGATGAAAGCTGTGGAGCTGGTGATAGTAGGATTAGACAGGAGAGGAGAGTTAAAGTAGGCACAGGTTCAGTCTTCCTTCTCTCAAATGCATGGAGCCAGAAGTATTTTTGACTTCAGAAGTTTGGATTTTGAGATATTTATATACACATAAGAAGATGTCCTGGGAATCCAAGTATACACACAATACACTTAGACACATAGTCTGACACATAGTTACTTGTATAAAAATTTTTTAGTACACCTGCATTTTGACTGAAACCTGTTACCTGGTGTTATGTATGGAGTTTTCCACTTGTGTTATGTGGTCCTTAAAAAATTTCCAATTATGGATTTTAGTATTAGGAAGACTCAATCTATATTTAATATTTATATGTAGACTCAACAAGCTGAGTAATTAATTAGTAGCATTAGAAGAAGATTTGGAAAGATTCTCAGCTTTCTGGTTGGAAAATTAAATGGTATTAGATCAGAATAACATTGTCTTTTCAGTTAGAGCAAGATGCGAGTTACTCATTCCTTCCCAGTTCTAAACAGGAAAGAATAGGTCTCAGGAGCCCAGTGGACATCTATTAAGAAATAGGTGGTGGATGACCTGCAAATGCAGTGCCTCCTGGTAAAGCTGGATAGGAGAGCATAACTGGAATCCAGTGGAGTCCTCCAACTTTGTCACATTGAGGTCTTGAAGGCCGTTGAGTACCAGCTAGATACAAATACACATGCCCAGACAACTGCATGGAGATTGAGCCTTGTCTCACAAATCCATCCAAAGCTAGGCTAGTCCTTACAGTGGCAGGAAGTACTGGGCAAGTCAGCTTCAGCCAAGTGTATATGAGGATGAGATTCAGGAGGGCCTGGGTCGGTACCAGTTCTCTGCTGTTCTTCTCAATTGTACTTTCTTTATTCTTGAAAGAAACTTATCTTGTTGGTATTGAGTATATCTCATTGTGTAGAAGCATGGTTACAGGGATAGTCAGTTGCTTTTTTCCTTCATTCCAAAAAGAATCTGGAGTGGGCCACTTTTTCTAGTTGGCAGGTCATCGACAATGAAGTGTACCACCTACTAGAGTGGGGCTGCTGAAATAGGTCCCCTCAGTGTGACATTTTTAGTGACATGTCCAGGTATTGATTTCA